GCACGCAGATCGCCCACGTGGCCCTTTCCCTTGACGTGGTCTTGCCACGCGGCAGGTCCTGGTTGACCAGGGCTGCTGACTGAGCCGCTGACGTAGCTGCTGATGTGGCGCTCTCTTTTTTTTTTTGTTTTTAAATTAATACTAACAAAAAAATGCCCAAATTGTTTGGGCGTTACATTTTTTGTGTTACCTCCATACAAAATGTTATATTTATTATGTAAATTAAACTATTTATTCGTTCTATAATTGATATTTCTACCCTTTTATAGAATTGTAACTCTAAATATTTTTATTATGAGATTAATTGTGTTATTATCAATATATTGTGCAACCTAAAATGATATTGTACACTCAATATCATTGTTTTTGTTGTCTGCTTTTACTAATTACTACGATATTAGTAGTAATACTGGTATTAGACGAGCTGTGACTTGTTTGAATGCTTCGACGCTTAGGTTTTGCATTTTCTTCTGTTGCTTGCCATCGCCTTCCCGTAGTTGATGATGCTTCTCATTCTCCAAATCTCCAAACCGAGATCTATAAACAGGATGAAATTCAACTTCAGCTGCTTAAAAAAGAATTAATCACCACAAAAGATCTTTCCAAGGAAACAAAAGCAAAACCTTTTCAGCCATCTGAGCAATCAGAATCATACGTCTGTGCATTCCAAAATTTTGAAGCTTTGCTATCTTCGAATTCTAAAATGGGACATGAAGCATTCGAGAAATCTCTAAACCGTAAAAAACCACGTCTACAATATCCACCTGTAATAATTTGGCACCCATTTACAGCCATGGCTGAACATCCCAAGTTGGTGCTTGATCTCTCATCCTGGCTGCATACCAAAGAATTTGCTTTTCTTGCAGTGTCTGTTTCCCAAACATTAATATAAACATCATCTGGTCCTCCCATTACTATTTTGTAAGGATCCATGTATAACAAAGTCACTGGACCAACATGTCCATCCATCTCAGCAACTGGCTCGGGTTTCAGTATGCCCTGGTTTCTCCTAATATCCCAAAGAATTGCCCTGCAGTAAAAGAAAGGAAATGAAAGAAAGAAAATGAAAAGAAAATTTTTCCCTGGTTTACTCAAATCAAACTAGTATAACACGTACATCTCGTTCCTTGCTCCGGATTAACTAGATCTATCTTACTTTGAGATTAAGGTTTCAAGCAAAAGAAAGAAGAAAAGGACCTGCTGATTAACAATATAAACAAGTTAAAAAATAGTAGATAAGAAAACCTTGGCAGAGAAGCTTGTGAAGAATATATAATTCATTCTTATAGTGTTTCAAGAGCTATAGGCTGACTGGACCTTCCGACATCCCATAAATATTTCATCAATTTATATGGCATTTTGAGCATATAAGGAAACAATGATACTCTATTTATATATCTCCAAATATTTTCATCAGTAAGCTTGATTTCTTTTTCCCCACCCCCGCCCTCCAAGCATTTCCCCCCTTAAAGGCCCTTCGTGAATTATAATATCACCACAACATTAACAACTCTTGCTACCAGAAGATACTTACTTGCCGGTCCCACCTGTGCAGACTAAGGATTTTGATGGCAAGACGTCAAAGGCATTCAGTTTTGGTTCACAGATTGCTGCTCTAATAACCTTCTCCATTGTCCTTAAATCAATTGCTACAACAGAAGTACCAGAAGCAACATAAAGTAAGGATTCATGGCACTTCATGTTTACAGGTGCACCCGATACTGAAGTCATCCCCACACAGCAAGAAGACCGAACAGAAGATGAGGCTGCCGTATCCCAAACTCTCACCTATATTTGAATTTCTATAATCATCAGATGAGCTAATAGTATGACGGCAAAATACAAAAGAATCACTTCCTACCAAGAAATGAAAAGCTTGCTCTTCCTAACTTCAAATATTGTGTACTCTTGCCCCAGGTTAAATTCATGGCACTCCTATCAAAACTATCAGTCAAAATATGCCATTTATTTTATCAGGCATTACCTTAGCAGTTGTATCGTTAAAATCTTTATCAGCTCATTTTTGCATCCAAAATTTCACACAGATAATGAATTATAGAAGTGGAACAACCATTATTGTAAGCCATGTCATTAGACAAACAAGTAATAACATCTTTCTGGTGCCACAGGTTACTTGAATGGGTTACCAATTTTTTAAGCCCCAATTAAAATCCTGAAGGATGTTTCCCCAAGAAAATCAACGGCAACCTAGTGCTAAGATAATGCCTTTAGACAGGGGTAGGAACTACTCTGCAAACTCAATACATAAGGATGAAACTTTTCAACATATGTTGACCCAAAGAAATCATCAACAAGAATATGATACTAGATATACAAAAAATTAGGAGAGAATCATTTATCATGAAATTAGGAAAGGAATCATTATTTACCATTTAGCAGTCAAGACAATAGATATTGTCATAAATTACATAGAGACGAGTACCTTAGAATCTTTCGAAATTGTTGCTAAAAGAGATTTTCTGTGCCTGGAAGGATAAAGTATCAAAAAAGTTAATATGGATCACTTGGAGGAAAAGTCAAATCTCATGGTAGAGAAATTCCATCTCCCTGCAAATATTGTAATGCATTTTTTGACAGAACACTTCTTATGATTACCCACAAGTATACTTAACACTTGTGTATGAACACCTAAGTCACATGATTTCGGGAACATACAATAGAACTTTTTCCATTTTATCTCTTTGTCTTGAAAAACGTGCAAGATTCAAGAATAAAAAGAAACAATAAGTTTCCATGAACTTCTACACCAAAGCAACTCATACCCAGCAACTGACATCAAATTAACTGGTTTCTCGTGTCCATAGAAAGTAGCCTTTAAAGCATGCTGGCGACTTTTTCCACTTGAGCTAAGTGACCAAAGGCGGATTGTGCCGTCTTCCCCACCACTTGCCAAAATCTTCCCACTATCATCACCAAGCAATTTGTCTGACAAGGTGGAAACTGCACCATTATGACCTCTCAAACATCTCTGGCAAGAACCCTACAGCAAAGGCGTAAAACTGAGACATTATGAACAATAAATAGCATACTGACACAACATTCCTTCATGCTCTTAATAATAAATAAAACTATCCCCCAGGCTGATGGCAATATAACAGCGGTAAATGTAATTCCAAATGATTTCACGAATGAAGAACAAGCATGGGCCAATGAAGCATCATTTGGAAGGAAGGATATAAGTGACTAAACTGAGCTATTGAACAGAAATTGAGACAAGATACTTATGAAATACCTTCCACCACAGCCGAATAGAGTGATCACTGCTTGAAGTTACCAAAATATTGCCTTTTCTCTCGGACTCACTCCGAAATAAAGAAGTTTCAGCAAGGGAAAATAATCTGCATACCGAGAAAAGCATTCTTATGCATTAGGAACCTCTTTCTTTTCAATTTATTTATTTTTTGAAATAATCTTGCTTTTCAATTTATAACCTACCAGTTAAAGAAACCTCCAAGATCCAATTGGTCAAGGTTAGCTAATTTTTTTTTTTTTTCTAAAAAAAAGAAAAAGAGCCATGAGTCTTGGTCTCTTGCAACTAAAAAAGCACAATGATGTCTTAAAGCATAGAAAAATTGCTATTTCCAACAGATCAGTATATAAAAGAATTAATTGTAGAGAAGTACACCAGAAATCTTCACCTCATACAAGTAATTCTTGCATTGTGATCATTTAGTTCAACAAGAGAGACACTTCCACTAAGAAGGTTAGCAATCTTCACCATCCTTATCAAGGAACCCTAGTTGAATAAATACCAAGCAAAATAAAGATCATACTACAGGAGAACCAAATCCAAAAACATTTGACTACCTATTTTGGAGCAAGTAAAACAAGAATAAACAGATTACACTCTTCACCAGATACAAGATGAGGGAAAAGGTGGCGTGGGGAATACCTGCGAGAAGAAAATAGTTTCATCTTTCTCTAACAATATATGATCAATCGGTTTTGCATTAGTTGTATAGAAGTCAGCAACTACAGGATCAGAAAATTTGAATTGCTGCAATGTAGTACGTCTGGCTAAATAAGCTTCCCTGATTCCCGATGTTTGGAATGACCCATCAAGTGTTTCTCGCGGCCAACGTTCCCTATGAAATTCCAAAATCAGGACCACCATTAAAACAAGGATTCATCATAAAACCGCGATTACGTGAAGGAAAAATTAGTGATCTTGTTAACTCCGTAACATTTTCCTCCAAAAATTTGAAAAAAAAAGTTAGGCTAAGCATATAAATATAAGAAGTTGGTCAAGTATCATGGTGTTCTTCGAAGTAATTAATCACCTTATGATGCCCATATCTGGATTTTTTTATTACCTAACTCTTCATATGCCGCTTAAGATAATCGAGTAATAAGAAACTTGTGACGAAAATCAAAAGGGACAATAAATTAGATAGCTACGTTAAAAGTTTGACTTAATTCAAACGTAAAATTGAGAAAGAAAGGACAAAGGCGAGTGTTGAAATAGAAGAACCTGAAGAAACGTTGCCAAATGGAGTCAGAGTAAGCGATGCGCTTGAGGGATCGACAGGTCGTAGCCATGTTAGAAACATCTTGAAGACTGAGGTAGCGGGCACAATGAGCCAGCGAATCCTCGTTTAAGTCCGTAATTGTGGTCGTTGAGCTGTGGTTCTTAAATGGCGGTGATAGGTCCGCCATCCTCGGTGAATTTCAGATGAATCTGGGCAAAACCCTAGAAATTTCACTATTAAGAGGATTGGAATAAGCTTTTCTGCAACAAGAGAGAGTTCTAAACATGACAGCAACTCACGGGTGGACTGGGAATTGACCCGCTGAAGCTCATGTATTGGGGAAGTAAGGAGCTTTTGCCGCTTTAGCAACAAGAGTACCGACTTAACGGTGAAATTTGCCTGGCCTCTTTTTCCCTTTTTTATTTTAATTAAAATTCTAAAACTTGTAAATTATCTAATTAAAAATTTTATTAACAGATTATTTTAAAAATTTTACCCAAAAAAATATATATGTTTTATTAAAAAAGATATCGTAATTAAATTTTAATAAAAAAATATTAAAATTAAAAATTCACAAGTGCTTTTTTTTTTTTTTTTTCTTTTTGTTGTAGTGATTTTTTTTTCAAAGCCATCTTCTCAAAGATTAAAATTTGTATATATTGGTCGTTTTCCATTAAAAATAAAAAATTATTATTATTTTTTTAACTTCACAATTATGCTAAATAAATAGTCTGACCTCAAAATATTCGTATACATATGTATTAAAAATCTTAATATAATTAAAAGCACGTCAAAATTGTATTAACTGTAGTAAAAAAATATTATATTAAATATCTAATAAAAAATTCCATTAAAATGTATCAAATTACTGTGTACAGAAATCTAGTTTTATAAGAAATGAAGAATTGAAATGAACGTTAAATAATCCCACTAAATAGAGGCAGCACGTCACAAGCACGTTGCATTTATTATCAAATACAATAATAGATCCATCCTCTAACAACCATTAACACATTTGATGTCACAAAGACTGAATCCAAGAGTTAATTTCCCCTTGACATAAAAATTTTATGTCTAACACAGCTCACATACAGTGCAGGTATTTCGATTCCTGCAGCCGAAATTAATCAAATGGATACTGCAGTGAATGGATGATGATATACAGCAGATTAAGCAGAAGGCCAAACGTTCATTTCTACCCATTTGCAAAACCAACAAAGCTAAAATATGAAGACCACACTGTCATGAACTCTCGATTTCTGATTCTGCGCAACACATTCCGATATCCACATCAGGTTCCTGATCTCCTGCTCTCTTAACCTCATGTATGCAAAGAACACCCCATAGTGAAACTACAGATGACAAGATTCAACAGAGATTGCGTTAGACCGAGTTTTAAAGAGAAAATGAAGTTCCAATCAAATGGGCTCGACTGAAGTAGGAATTCTATTGTACTGCTTATTCTGATAAGACAACAAACCTGCTGCTCAAAGGCTAAGCAAAGCCTTTTCACCTCTTCTTCATAAAATGCCTTGTCAAGCATCTGGCTCTCTCCATAGGATAACTTGGAGAATATGGACTGATAAGGAGGGTATTTTTCCATAACACCACGAACCTGTACCAGCAAACCAACAATAAATTTTAAATAAAACCAGGAAGTATCTGATTCAAAAACCCCAAAACTTATTACATATGCCAATGCATGAATTACCTCCAAAGAATATGTGCCAAACTATGCATTATTTCCCAGAACAGTTTAGCAGACATGAAAAGTTATAATTTGCATTCAGATGTTGGTAAACTTTTGACTCAGAAAAGAAAGTTTATGAAGGATTTTTAACTATTTACAAGCTATTTCCTTAAAAATGCTTGAGCTCAAGTACAGTGATACATAATACTATTCACCTTCAACCCACAGTGACCTAAATGTTAGCCTGCCCTATATTTGAGTCCATCTAAAATTTACTGACTCAGATCATATTGAAACTCATAAATTTCACATATTTGTTTAGACATGTCCAACCACCTCAAAATTATAAGTAGATAGCAAATATGCATCAGTAAATATTACTAATTTTGTCAAACCTGATCTATATCCTCACAGACAGCAAGTTCCTCATGGCCATAGGGATAACTGTAAAACAAGGAATCCACAGTAAGAACTGACGTTCCAACATAATATAATGCTTTCAACAGAAAATATAGTCAAGCATTGAAGTTTTTAAGCTTACAGTAGACCGAAGCTAGAATACAATTTCCTGCGATCATCCCGAGTAAGCTCAGTGCCAATGCTGCAGAAAACAAACCTCATAAGTGGTTTCAGGAGCATGGCCAAAAAGCTAAAAGATACAACCAAAGCCATCTTAAATGTACAAAGAAGTTTGAAAGTACAAATTAGTCAGCAGGAGCAATACCTATTTATGGTAATATTGACAGCCCTTCTGTCCGCCTCAAAGGCAAGAAGATCAGACATGATCTCTGCTGTAGCACCGCCAAGTTTCTATTAGAAACACGCAAAACTTGATGAGCAACTAGACCAGTATGTTTATATTATTCTTCTTAGTTTAGCACTCAGCAATCACCTGACAAAATCTGTAGAAGTCCTCAAGGTAGGCCTTGTAGAGGGTGTTCCTCATAATCTCTATGTTCATGTCATCCAAGTCCTATAAAAAAAACAATGCATAAAGACCAACTAATATTTAATAAATAAAAAGGCAAAGAATATTTTGAGTCGTTCCATGAAAATGATGCACCTGCTCTGACTAACAATGATAATAACAGTGAAATAGCACATATGTTTTACTTAGCTTGTGAAATGAAATGATTCATGTCTACACTGGAATCTCATGCTACTTGCCTTTGGTTTATTGTCCTAATCTAACAACTTCTTTCAAACCCAAAACAAATATGTCTGATCTAAAGATTTATTAATACCAAAAATATGACTGTCAACTAATACAAAAAAACTACCATTTTAAAAAGCAACATGCAAAATGTACATTATTCAAGAACACAAAATAAAAGTTGTCACTAACAAGTGTGAACGTATCTACCTCAGAAGTAATACATTCAGAGAAGTAGGGAGCCAGTGGTGTGTCCACAAGCACCAACCTGTAAAGCTCACGCATATTCTGCGCAACAGCAAGGGTAGCGATGCTGGGAACAAACGGGAAAGAGGATGAGAAGAAAGTAAGTCTGTTGGGAGAAACTGAAATACATAATACCTAAAGCTAGAGTACCTGTCAAACATGCCAAGAGGGTGGCATTTCTCTAATAGTTCATTAACATCTCTCTCGTGCAAAGTTCCAGTGACAATCAAGACAACATTGTCAATCATGTGCCCATATCTGCAGAAAAAGCTAGCGTATAAGTATTTTCCTCACTAGTAATTGAATTCCATAAAAACTGGGATGTAAAAATCTTCTTCACATGCTACATAAATTATCATACATCCATTTTGGGCTCTACAAGGCCAGTCTTCCCAACAAACAAAGAACAAGTTTTAGAAGAATAGATTGGAGCAAAGTGAGCAGGAGATAACTAGGTCAGCATTGAGATTGCTAAAACTAAAATGCATAAAATTAAGGTCAAAACTAATTTTGTCAAAGTTGCTGCAACTAAAGTCTAACTTTAAGAAGTTGTGACACAAATCTAATTCTTCTCCATCAATAGATCATCATATCACGTTCATTGCATTTTCACAACATATTTTGTTGGCCACACAGACAAATCAGCTTAAAGATGTTACCCTATCACATCAGCCAAGCATACAAGATCATAACTTGAACACCACCATACTTTAGTGGTCTGAATAACTGCTCAATACCTTGGGTTGAAACCAAACTCCAAAAATCAGTTTTTGGTAGAAGTAACTGTCTTAGGAGATTAATCATTTCATAGATTCAGCTCTTGATGAACAAATATCCCAAATATATACAAAGGCCTTCAACAACGCCTAGCTGAACTTCTAAAATGAAAACTACATTAACATACGTGATATACTCAAGAAAAGTTGACAGCGGCTCTGTGGCTTGGCATAGCATGTGCTTGTACTCATCAACCAGCTTAAGGGTGCATTTCTCCACAATTGTAGTCGTGTGCAATGGGGAAGGCTCTGCAAGCAAGTTATAAAAGAATCAGGAAGAAGTATGACAGGTTAAGTCAAAAAATAATTGTCTACCTACTGTTAAGCCGTAATAATCAGACGAATAACATAATCAAACCAGTGATTTGCATTACTTCAACATACTTATTAATCATGGGTTATAGATTGTATTTAGCAAAATAATGCAATTCATACCCCAAATCCCAAATTCAAAATTACAGTAAAAACCTCATAAACCTCATCAAATATCCAAATCGACTAATCAAATACCATCAACAGGCTAGTAAATCAACTCAATCAGATCGACAAAACACTTAAAAATCACATATCCTAATACAGCACTCACTTCAATTGTCCAGTGCCCGAAATTAAACCCTTTGAGACCTCCGATCAAGTCTAAAATTCAATCCACATAAAACAATTTAACAAAAGGAAGAATATAAAAAATTACACTTTCTGTTCCTCGCTAAAATTTCCCTAAATTCATCCAGAAAAGAACAAACGATAAGAGGGATCAAACGGAAGAAGAAGAAAAGAGCATAAAACGCACCGTTTTGAAGGTACGGGCCGTACTCGGTGGCAGAGAGGTGCATCTTGATGTCGTCGAGGGTCTCACACTGGCAGAGATTGTTGTAATCGGCAGCGGTGAGAAGGCCCGCCCGGTGTCCCCTGACGATCGCCTCAAGATAACCTCCATGGATGTTGAATGTCATGGCCTCGAATCCGTACATATCTTTCTCCTTCTGGGTATCTCTCCAATCCAGAGAATCTGAGAGATCTAACTACAGGAAATTCAAAGGATGATTTAATTAAAAGAACCAGAAGGAGAAGAGAGGTGGGAAAGAGCAGTAATTGGTTTTTGTTTTTGTTGATTTATTTTACAGAAACGGGAAAGAGATTGGTTATGTAATTACAGTTGTGCCCCCACGTCTTAAACAATTCAGAAACGTTGATTAGCAGATCAGAGGTCCGAGATTGATGATTAAGCGCTTCCAATGAACTGGGCTTGAGATTAATTCCAAAGTTTCTCTTTTAATAATAATAATAATAAGCATTCTTCTCATAACATTTTTAATTGGTGAAGTGATTTTTTGTTTTTAATTTTAGAAAAAATATATACATATAAATTAAACCTCATAAATAAGAGAGAAATCTTATTATTTTTTCTTGGTTTAAAATGAGAGTCACTTAGGAAGATGAGAATAAATTTTTCTTCTTTAATCCAAACAAGCCTTAAGACAATTCAAAATTTCCCTCTCATTTTTTAATGGATATGGTCTTTTAAAACAAATTTTAAAGTGTTTTATAAGAAAAATAAATATTTAAAACTTCAATAATTGAAACTAAATTGGTAATTTGTCACAACTTCTGTATTTTTACTACATGCATATGTTATTGGTCCTTAAAAGTACAATTACAAGAAGAAAAAAAAATTCATTTGTTAAATTTTTTATATTTGAAAAAGAGAGTTAACACTAATATTAAACTATTAGAAATTTATTCACATTTCAAATGATCATGTTCTTGAAACACTAATTTCTGAGCCTATAATGACTTAATAGATTTTTATTTGATTTAAAAGATAAGAATATAATACTACAAATCTAACAAGCTATCTAAGATAAATGAAAACTACCATAACTTAGATGAATACAATAGATCATCGCCAAGATTTGTTTAATGAAAGTCAAAATACTCAAGATTTTTAATTGATTGGATTTTGTTCAATGTTGAATTGGTTGAATGATCATCTATTGAAACTTGTATAACATATAAAAATGAATTTAGTTGATGAATTAAACTCATATAGTATGAAGCTCATCGAGAATGTGCATAATATAGTCATTTAACATTTCATTCCGTCTTTATTTTTCAATTTTATTGTTAACTAGCTTGTGATAAATCTTAATTCTAAGCTGACCTAATTTTATAATATATTGATGGAGTTGATGAAGCTTAAGAGACAAGTGTAGTTGGTGGGCCAATTAGATTATAAGCCTTAGATAAAAATGTAATGACAAAGCAAAACAAAAAAACAAAACAAAACAAACCTTGTCAACCTAGTCAAGAAAAAGGAGAAAAAAATTCAAAGAATGACCGTAGAAAATAAATCGTAAATTGAATTGTAATTGCTTACAAATTAGAAGAGTCTAAACAAGGTTGAGATGGATCAAGAGTGGGAAATACTAGCAAAAAAAAATTTGCATTAGTTATAGGAAGCATAAGTTTAGGTTTGTCAAGTAGTAGTATACGGAAATTGAATAAAGTATACTAAGCTTATTATGAAGAATTTAGTTTATATTTTTGTGTTAGATGCATTAGGACATATGTTTTCCTTTAATAATGGATGTCATACTTATTTTATAAATTAATATTATGGTAGTTCTTTAATTTAAATAGTTTATTTACTTAATTTATAATCTCTAATTATTATAAGATGAACGGAAAATATAAACTAAAGGTACCCATGACTCTCTATATTAAGTCATTTCAATGATATTACGATTAAAAAGTTACTTAAAAATTAATTGATTCAATTACATAATTATAAATAATTAAAAAGATGTGAATATTATTTTATTGGGGAATTCACTAAGACTCCCTTCAGTGGAAATAGAGAAAAGGAAATATACTTGTTGGATATTTATTCATGCAAATTTTTATAGGCTTTATGTCTACAGAAATTAGGAATGGCTTCATTACCTTTAAAGATAATCTCTTTATATTTAGATATATATAAATGTAATAAAGTCTATATGAATATAAATGTCAGTACAAAATCTTAGTAAGTATGTATAAAAGAAGAGAAACAACTTAGAAAAAATATTAAAATATTTTGACGATATTAATATCAATAATACTTAAATTTTGAGTGTTTAAAATTATATTAGAATTGATAAGATTATCTCTCAGCGACTCTTCTTTAAACATCAAAGATAAATATTATTATTAAAAAAAAAATTAACTTAATTAATTAAACATAATTCAATCACTATGAGTAAATATATTTTTATTAATATTGTACATTCTTTATATTATATAGTTCCGACTAAATAAAATTTTTTCTAGTTAATTCTAATAATATTTTACGTTTAAATAAGTTTAATCAAACTATATGATATATGAGTAAAGATATATAATTTAGCTGAAATTGAATTTATTAAAATGGTCCATTAATGTATAATATAATAACTTCCAAATTGGAAAGATAATTTTATATTTTCAAACTAGGTAAAGTAGGTAGGTCTACGGGGATCAGGAGTGAGGAAAATCATGACATGGTATATTACTCCATCATGACTAGACTTTTATGCCATCTATATATATATATATATATGTATATGTATATGTATAGGTATATGTATATACAAATACACACTACAAAACCAGGGAATATAATGAAGCAGCTGCATGTATAGATTGAAATCAAGCGGCGAGAGGAGTTTTAGTGTGAAGCAATGATAACAAAATAACAAAGATCATGTCATCAGAGCTTCGCATTTTTCTCATTACTTCTAAGACTCAAGAGTCGCGTGCCCATTTGGATTTTTAACCACCCTAAAATCTTCCTTTCTTTTCAGCCAAAAAAAAAACGCAGAGATCATCTTCACACCTTCCATGTTCATGAGGCCTGAGCTTTTTTTGAAAAGGCAAAAATGGTAGCAAGGGGTTTTGTCAATAAAACTGGGTGTGAGTTTTGTTTCGTGCAGTACCCATCAACGTTTTCATGTTTTAAGGATACCAACAAAACTATATATATAGACATATACAGATATACACATATAGACATGTATATATATATATATATATATACATCTATCAGCTAGCTCTTTTACTTTTCTTCTCTTTTCCTGATTATAAGTTGGATAATTTCAAAAGTTCCACGCCCCCCCTTCCCTCTGCTTCCACATTGCACACAAAATTCGATCTTCCTATGATGTCCCTAGCTAGTTTTTTACCCTAATTTCTTATTATGAAGAAAAATAATTTATAAATAAAGGCTATATTATCTTTATTGCACAAGCCTAGTCTGTCTCTATGATTATATAATAATATATATAAACATATATAGTAACCGACGGACTGCATGCATTCTGTGTACGAGCCTTTCAAAATCTTCGTTAGTAACTCTCTTTTTTTAGTTATAATAACTAATTAATTTTATTAAGTTTTTTTTTTTTTTTTTTCTTAGTGATGAAGTATTTTTGGACCACTCTTTTTTACGTCAACATTGACATTTAATTTTTGGAATAAAATTAGAAATATAATAAAAATGGAATGAAAATAACACCTTAGTACTTGTAATTTACTTACCCATTAATAAATATTTAGGGTAATAATTAGTGAGGAAGAATATAGTGATTTTATTTTTAAAAAATTATTTTAGTAAGAAAATGCAAGTATTTTGGTTATCTACTATATATATATATTCTCTCTACTATGTGAATATTTTCATAAAAGAGAATTTAAAGAAACATTTTTAAAAAGGAAAGAGAGGGATTATGAAAATTTAGTATATTAGGTAGTAGCTTTCTAAAATATAAAAAGGATTTTTGATTTGACTCAATTAAAACCTAAGTCTCGAGTTTACAAAATGTTTTATATACCCAAAACTTCACGAACAAAGTTTATTCAAATCGATAAATTAGATTAACGAAATTATAATTAATTATGTAAATATCATTCATGAAAGTCTCTTAATTTACCAAATATCATATGAGCAAAGTCTATGATATACTCTTTAATTTTCATTATAAAAAAAAAAAAAAAAAACTACTTCACCAACTATTTATTTATCTATATTTGTTCAAGAATGAAATTGAATAAGGAGATAAATAAAGTTTATTTTCATTAATTCACTAATAATTATTTCTTTTGATCTAATTTTTATTTTTATTATTTTTTTAAAAATTATATTTTAAATTAATTAATAATTTAAATTTAATAAATAACAACTAATAGGAAGAGATTATTATAAGTAATAACATTTACCCGTGAGAGGAAAATATGTTTGTGACAATCTATTGATCTCATCATGCAGGTTATAAAAATATGAAATCAAGAATTTCCAAATAGACATAACCTCTTTTAATTAACAAATTAATCTCAAGATTTATCATAAAAGCTAAAATTTTAATATGACTATTGAAAATTAAAAGGAAAGTATTATATATATATATATTATGCCTTAAATAGAAAAGATTGCATGCATTCTGCAATCTCAAATCTCTCTCTCTCTCTCTCTCTCTCTCTCTCTATATATATATATATAAGAACTACCGGAAATTCTTACATATCACTTCCTCAGATTTTTAAAATGAACTTGGTTGAATAATGTACATTTTAAAATATAATTTTATTTATTTTTTAATTGTAAAAAAAAATTAGTTATATAATTCAATAAAATTTTTAATCCTATTATAATTAAAAAATTATTAATGGGTTATATTTTTACTCATATATCTTAATTTAAATATATGTAATAATTATCTATTTGAATTCTTCATTGATTATTTATCAATTTTGAATCATCTATTTGTTTTCTAATTATACATTATATAAATTTTGAATCATCTATTTGTTTTCTACACTTTATTATTTATCAAAAAATAATGTATGATAGTTCTTTTATATATTTGTTAAAATTCTTTTGTTCTCATAAAATTTTTGTTTATGTAAAGTAATATTTATGTTATTTTTGTATAACAATTAAAAAAAAAAAAAAAAAAAAAACTCTTTTGGAATTATATCATGCTTATAACATATATTGAAAATCTAATTTAATTTTACATAAATAAAAAAATAAAAAGAAAGATAAAAAAGGTGACTTAAATTTTTTTCTTGACGTTTATGTGTTGAATATTTTTGTTTTAGGTAGGAATAATATATACAACTTGTGCAATAAAAAAGTCTAAAATGACTCTCCAATGTGAAAACGAACAAAAATTATTTTGTTATGTTTTGGTTATATTTGTAATTAACTTATCTTTTTGGACTAATATAAAATATTTTATTAATTATATTTACAAATATCAACGTAAAAATCACTCTGTGGGCGGATACTAAAACGTGTTCGGTACAAATCTTTGTTTTTTTACGGGTACGATGTTCACGTGTAGTCAGGTGTATGCGTAAAGTTTATTTGTTTGTTATTTTTAATTTCAATTTAAATATTCAGTCTGTGAACAACATGTCATTTAAAAAAAAAACTAGTTAGTGTATGTATGTATTTTATATTACTCCGATATGATGATTAAGACAAACTTAAAAGTAAAATTATAAAGCTGCTAATCTAAGAAATGTTCAGGCGGATCAAAGTCCATAGTCAAATCCATGTGATTAAGGTAACAATTGTTTTTAATCATATACGACTCTTTTTCTTTAATGTGCTGTGAATCTTCTTC